AGTGAGCAGCTTGTGAACTGTGTCCTGTGGACTAAATATACCAGTGGCTCTGTATAGATTCCTGAGGTCCCTGAGACCCTTTTGGGAGGTCCTTAAAGTCAAAACTTTTTTTCATAATAATGCTAAAATGTCATTTGCTTTTTAAAATCTCCCTCCCATTTCCTACTGCATATCTGTGTGAGGCCAGATTTCCTTCATATGCTTCAATCAAAACAACATATTGAAGAAGATTAAATGCAGAAGCATATAAGAGAATCCAGCTGTCTTCTGTTAAGGCAGACATTAAAGGGATCTGCAAAAATATATGACAATACCACTCCTCTCACTATTATTTTTGTTTTGGAAAATAATTGTTTTCATAAAAATAATTTATGTTGTCATGTAAGAGTTTTAATAATTATTTTCAGATACTTTATTGATTACTAATCAATTAATTTAATAAATAAATCTTTTTAAATTATCCATTTTAATTCCAAATAGAGTAAATATCAATAGATACAGCCCATAGAAGCAAAAGCTCTTTGGGGTCTACAATAATTTTTAAGAATGCAAAGGGGCCCTGAGACCAAAAAAATTGAGAATTGTTAATCTAGTCCAATAAAATGCTGGATCTCAGAGGCATAGTAGAGCAGTGATAATGCATTAGTCTTGGAGTTAGCAATGACCTGGGGTACAAGTTCCACTTCTGACATATGCTGACAGTGTGGCCCTGGGCGAGTCAGTTGCCTTAAGCAACTCCCTACGTCTATAAATTATAGTATAGTTGCCAATCTGCTTTGGTAAAAAGAGTTTCCTCCCTCCATGGAGGAAATTACAGGTTTAGACAATTAATAATAATAATAAACTGACATTTCTTTAGCATTTAAAGGTTTATACACATTATCTCATTTGATCTTCATAATAACTCTGTGAGTTAGGTACTGCCTGTCTTGTTAGCCCTGTTTTATAGAAGAGGAAACTGAGGCACAGAGAGAGGGTGCTCAGCGGCCAGTGTCAGGGTCAGAATTCACACCCAAGTCTCTCTTGACTGAGTCTAGTATTGTTTCTATTATACACACTGTCTCTCATTCATGTAATGCTATAATAATAATACTAATAAATAGCATTGAGATATATATATATATATTGGGGGGGTGAGACAATTGGGGTTAAGTGACTTGCCCAGGGTCACACAGCTAGTAAGTGTTAAGTTTCTGAGGTCAGATTTGAACTCAAGTCTTCCTGACTCCAAGACCAGAGCTCTGTCCACTGCACCACCTAACTGCCCCTGCTATGTCATTCTGAAGTTTTCAAAGTACATGTAATAATAATAGCTAGCCTTTTCATAGTGCTTTAAAGTTTGCAAAGCATTTTGCAAACATTATCTCATTTAATCTTTACAGCAATCCTGAGAGGGAGGTGCTCTTATTATTCCTTTTTTTTTTTTGTACAGATGAGGAGAGTGAGATAGACAGAGGTTAAATGACTTGCCCAGGGTCACACAGTTAGTAGTGCTATGACTGGATTTCAACTCATCTTCCTGACTTCAGGTCCAATGTTCTATCCACCCTATTGCCTAGTTGCCTATGTTAGCTCAGTTGATTCTCACGATTAGATGCTAATATTACCCCCCACCCTTTTAGAGATGAGCAAAGTGAGGCTCACAGGATAGTGACTTACCTACTGTCATATGGCCACTATATGCCTAAGACAGAATTTGAAGTCCTGTCTTCCTGACTCCATGTCCAGCACTCTATCTGCTATGCTTCCCTGCTGCCATCTCTAATATACAAAATACAATATAAAGTATTCCCTATCTCTCTTGATGTTCACTACAGACATGGGAGCTGGAGTGTTCTCTTTGAGGAAAGCAAGATGGCCAGTATCACTGAATTGTTTGGAGGTGAATAACTAGAAAGGTACAGGGGCCCAGAATTCAGATGCTGGCTATAAACTGTTGCTAGAGTAGCATCCCGGGAGAAGCAACCTGGGCAGATGGACAAACAAACATGGCTGAAGGAGTCAGATGAAGAATGATGGGTTTCAGATTGTTGGGTGAAGGAAATAGGCATTAGGGGAATTGTTCAATTTCTTCAGGTGATTTGTATCTACCCAATGCTCTACTTAATCTACTTCAATTTGTTGAAGTGCCCTCTACTCAGTACTAGGCTAGCAATCTCCCAAGTATTAAGTCCTGTGCAAAGATCTCCTCCCCCTGAAGCCCTAGTCAGTTTCTCCCCCCCCCTCCCTCTTTTGCCCTGCGTTAAGCCAGGACTCACTGGAAAACCTTGGTTAGGGCTCTTATTTCCCCAGGCTACTGGCCTAGGTTTCTTGGGACCCAGACTTGGCAGTTTTGGCTTTGAGGGGGAGCTAAGACAGAAGTAGACAACATTTAGTCATCATTATAACTGCCCCCTCTCATAGACTCTAGATCATAGAGTCAGATTTTCAAAAGACCTTGGAAAGCATGTATCTAATCCATCAACCTCATTTTCCATTTGAGGAAACTGAGCCCCAGAGATCAGAAGTGACATGCCGGTAGTTTTAAAGGTGGTAAATAGAATTTGAACTCAGGTCTTCTGCTGCCAAGTTCAGTACTCTTTCCACCACACCATGCTGTCTCTCTTAGGTGCTATATTTTTTGAGTGCTTGCTTGCATATTCTGTTATTTATGTTGCCTGACTGTCCACTCAGGACTTCTATAAATAAAAGGCAACTCTGGTCCTGAGCAAAATTTTCCCGATTGAAACCTGTGGCTGAGCATGCTCAGAGAGTTGCCGTGGACCACAGAGGGATCCGATCCAGAGCTGCCAGTTCTGGTTTTAACAAGGGCTGGAACAGGAAGTTGGAGAAGGGAGGGATTAGGGAGAATAGAATTTGTGGCTCGGTGCCTAATGAGCTTCTCTTGTCTGTCTTTTACTCACTGCTGTGAGAAACTGAGGCTGCTTACAAAGAGCCTCTGGGCCCCGAGCTGGGCTCTGTGACTCTGCTAGGGGGAGGAGGGAGGGGTCAGCACATAGGGGAAAAATAGTAAAGGAAAAGGAGGTCAGACGGGAATGGGCAGATTAGAAGAGAGAGGGACAGGAGGAGACAGGAAGTGTAGGTCATGCCTTGAGTGCCACTGATAGTGGTTTGCTCATATTTATTTAGCTCGTTTTCCATAAAGAGAAAAGCAGGTTCAATGGTGCGCTTAGAGAGTAGAGAAAACAGCATGATTATCCTAGAGTGCAAACCGCTTAAGAGGCCCCCTTCTTCTGTTGTCCCAGGACCCACCCACCCCCCATCTATCAACTCTGCTTTGAGAGTGAGAGGCTTGTTGCTTCTGCTTTCACAGCTCCCCTGGGGGGTGGGGAGGGGGAGGGGTGGAGAAGACTCAATCAGACATCCCTCAGAACTGAGAATTTCGAGATGAGTGTAATCGCGTTAAGTCTGGGGTATAAAGGGACAACGACAGTTGGGAGTTGAGACCTGGGTTCCAAATCGGTTTTTTCTTTTGTGACACATTGCCAGGGGATGAATCTGGAGCTATCTCACACCAATTTTGAATTACAGCTCTCCTAGGCCACCTCTGACCAGGTTTGACCCTCCCTCTTTGACCTTCCCCAGCACCGTGCTCCCGTAGACCCAGATGTCAGATAGTGGCTGGGGCTTCAGAGTGTCAGCGGCATTTCTAAGGCGGAAGAAATAGGGCATACGTGAAAATAGGTGGGCGGGAGCCAGGTGGCAGGTTTTTTAAACTATGCATGTGCAAAGGTTGTGACCAGGGCACTAAGGATGTATTTACTGAGTATCAGTTACCAGCCCAAGATTAAGCACTGTGGGTGATACACAAACATAAAACCACGATCACTGTTCTCACCTCAAAAACTGAACCATTGGAAGTGATTTTTTTTTAGACCTAGGAGGAACCAGCCTTTTAGCTCAGCCTCCTTAATTTTATTTATTTTGTGACAAAAGACCCACAATTTGACTAATTTAGTCAACGCTAGATGAGGGAACTCCCTTTCCCAAAGCAGATCTGCACTCCTTTTTATTATCTTATTTAGAGAGTTGCCCGAGGCACTGAAAAGTTAAGTGGCTTGCTCTGAGTCTCACCCCACTAAGTGTCAGGAGGGATTTGAATTCAGACTATCTGGACTAGAAGCCCAATTGTCTAGTCACTCACTACATCACGCTGCCCATATTCCTCTTAGTTTTACAGATAAGGAAATGGAAGCCTGGAAAGGTGGTGTCCTGGTCAAAATTCCCCAGACAATTAGAGGCAGAAACAAGGCCCGGTCCAGTGTTCTTCCTAATTTACTGGAAATTTCAAACCCTCAAGTTTAAGCTTATCTTGTATTTCATTTTTCGGTCCACGGAGTTACAGCTACATTCTCAGCCGAGGCCCCTTCCTCTAGATTCTGAACTGTTCATGCCAGTCAGGGTCACTCAATGTAGTTAGAACCGAAGAAGTTTTGAAGTCTAGCTGGACTGTCTTTGGGATTCGAAAAAACTATTACAGTGCTTAATAGAAGTGAATGTGGGATTGAGCTCAGGAAAGATAACTGCAACTCTTGAAGGGTTAAAAGCCAAATACCGGTGCAACTCCACCCTTCCTCTCCCCACCCTTCCTCACCTTGCGGACCAGGCAAGGATGCGGGTCTCAGCCTGCCCGAACCTCCTGCTTAGAGCCTGGGGCTTCCTGGCCAGGGTGGAGGGGGGATACGGGGCTGGGAGGGGGCAGCTGGAGCTGATGGGAACCTCCTGCGTCTACCATGCGCTCTCCTAAGTTACCCCAATTCTGGAAAGCTCTCCTTCCTCGCCTGTATATGTCCCACGGTCGAGGTGCCCCAGTTTGACCCCGGCGGCCGGGACCTGGTGAGGGCCAAGAAGAACGCGGGGGCATTAGGTCTGGGCTAGGGCGAGGGCAAAGGCAAGGGCGGGGACAGGGGCGGGAGCAGACAAGCCGGGGCTGGGCGGAGCCGCAGCTGCGGTGGCCCCAGCCCCTGCTCTGGCTTGGGCTCCAGCAAAGCTGACCCGGGGACTGAGCTGCGCTGCTCCCTTGTTCGTTCTCTCCTGTCCTCTCCCCGCTAGCTTCAAGAGCAGGCTAAGTCCCTTCCCTGCTGGCCACCTCACTTGGGCTGGGAAACATGAACACAGAGAAGATTGTCATCCAGGGGCCGGGGCCCTGGGGTTTCCGCCTCGTGGGAGGAAAGGACTTCGAGCAGCCCCTCGCCATTTCCCGGGTAAGGTCCCGACCGGGCTGCGGTGCCTGCTCCGGGGCCGTGCGAAGGCACCGGGGTGGAGAACTTACTGGGGCTGAGCGAAGGGGACCTAGTGTAGAGAGACCGGGCGACACAGACACCCTCCCGGGAAACTTGCAGAGGCTGGGGTTCTTGGAGGCAGTAAAAGATCCGGTCCCCGGGGCACCCTCCCCTCTCGCTCTTGGCCGTGGCGACGCGGACTCCCGGCTCCTCACCCCGTCCGGCAGCCACAGATTCCTGCCGTCCAGGTGCGGCTGTTGCAATCCGACCTGGGACA